GTCAAAGTAAAAAGTTATTTGATAAAAAAAGATAGATAACTGTCGATTACAGTGAAAGACATCTTTTTCGATGGTTATAACGTGTTTAAAAGATATGACAGAAAAAATAATAGATATTATACGTACTCATAAATATTTTGGTTTTTAAATTTAAATATTTTTAAGTATTAAAATATTAAGTAATAAATATTTTTAAGTATTAATTTCAAATTTATCGATTAGTTAGTGTTTTACGCTTTGTTCCGTGTAATGGGTAGAGGTAATAAGGAACTAGACGTGCTGCTGAACCGAGCGTGCGTAGAGCCTACCGACCAGTAGGCCTAAACTGGAGATGAGGCGCAACTTTTGCAAGTCACGTCTCGAAGAAACGCATAGCGAGCTTTGTTCTTCTATACAAACATTCGTTATATTATTGAATATACCTTGATAATATTATTAAAGTGATAATAATTAAAGCCCATAGCGAGCTTTGTTCTTCCATACAAACATTCATTATATTGTTGAATATACCTTGCTAATATTATTAAAGTGATAATAATTAAAACGTGTAGCGAGCTTTGTTCTTCTTACAAAAATTCATTATATTGTTGAATATACCTTGCTAATATTATTCAGTAACTATTTAAATCGCTCAAACTATTGCTTACGATGATCCTAATGATATTTGATCATGAAATGCTGCAACATTATTTCAAACAAAATATTTTATACTATGCTTTGGTGTTTTTGGAACAGAAAACATTTTTGTTCATGAAGTATTTCACAATTGATTGAAAACCGACAGTTGGCGGTGAAAATTTTCACCAATAAAACATAAGATTGCGTTTTTGTTTGTGTTTTTGAATTGGTATTAATAAAATGATATAATGGTTCATTTCTATTAATAATGAATCAACGAATCCAAACCCTTAGAAGCTCAGATAAAATAGGAGTGCTCCGTCGAAAGATAGACCCAACAAAGTAGCTACGTACGTAAGCTACGTAGCTTGTTAGCTACGTAAGTAGCTAACAAGCTGACTTAAGTTACACGAGATTTGTTTGACATAAAGCCAATTTCCCGAGATGCGACCACCTGAACAAACATGCATGGAACGGTCCAACCAATTACCTACCGAATATAACACGTTATAATTCTAAGCAGCACCAATTGCCGCCGTAGAAAAGATTTTATGGCGTCATCGCGGTGGTATCAGTCCCGTTGAGTCAACACAGCGAGGCCTCGCAACAACGAACACGATGCGGACAAAGGCCTCGTCAGGACACTCAACTCTGAGCTTGTTGGTATTGAACTTAGTTTGCATTGAACTTAGTATGTATTGAACTTAGTTTGTATTGAAATTAGTTTGTATTGAACTTAGTTTGCATTGAACTTAGTATGTATTGAACTTAGTTTGTATTGAACTTAGTTTGTATTGAACTTAGTTTGTATTGAACTTAGTTAGTATTGGTGCATGAAATGTTCACAGCTGTGTTATTTTATACAGCTGTGAAATAAAATAACACAGCTGTGTTATTTTATATTTTATAAAGTCCTAATAACCGCCAATATTATCATGAATGCTAAAGTTTTCATACAGAGTTTCATTATTACATGAGGCCTCTTAAAAATTTTATTTTTGAATACGGTCCTCGCACACATTCATATTTCCCGTACATATTTTCATTAGTGAACAAAGTTCTCATATTCATTCTTATTGGTACCTTAAGCCTCATAGACATTTTCATTACTAAATATCCGTCTTCATACACTTTTTATCGGTAGGTATAAAAATCCCCATTTAAATCCAACTAAAGGCCCCACCGGTTTGTTAATGGTCAAGAAATCGAAGAAAATCCAAACATGGTCTGCCACACATGGTCTGCCACACATGGTCTGCCACACATGGTCTGCCACACATGGTCTGTCACACATGGTCTGCCACACATGGTCTGCCACACATGGTCTGCCACACATGGTCTGCCACATATGGTCTGAATATCAGGAATTCTTTATTCAATGAACGAGCGAGGTTAGCGTTCTTGGTTGTATTTTGTTCGAAACAACAACGGCCTTCCGATCGGGAGTGAAATGAGCTACGGTGTCGAAGTCATAATTGCAAAGATCGATCAGGTACATCATGTTTAAAATGATCATGCTGGAAGTTAACTCATGCCGAAAATCCCACATTTCCATTGATTTGAAAATATTGATTTTAGAGGCCTTCAGAATGTAAGACGTTTTGAGTCAATTGTTTAATATGAGCACTTTGGAAATGAACTCATTCGGAAATATATAACCTTTTAATCGAATTTAAAGTCATTGTCTTACAGAAACTGGATTCAGAAGCGTTGAGGTCATTCATGATGATGTATGCTATCAGATCCGAACCAAATTTGTTTATATTAAAAAAATCTGAGTTTATGACGAGGATATTTTTCTGTTAATTCATATTAATAATTGAAGAAAACATGCTGAGAATTCGTTGTACCTTCAAATATCGATTGCAGATGTCTCTTTATAATTAGCAATTGTACGTATTTTCCATATTAGAAACGTATATTAACCTAAATTGAGGTACAAATTAATGTTATGCTTATCTAACACAATTATAACCATTTAGTGTCGAAATTCTGCTGCAAATAGTGATAAAATATTGAGGGATATCAAATCTCAGTTAAAAGCGACTTGGATCCATGAAGCTTCGGCTGGCCAGCAGCACCTCAAGGCAAATAATTAATGGAAGGTGCGGCTAGCAGCTGACAGTATAGTGACTTAATTGGTCCAGTTTTATCCCGGCTCATGAAAACGGCTTGTCAAAAACGCTCATGAATATTGTACAGCAAAATAAGAATTAATAATTAAGCCCAAGTTTTATCCCGGCTCATGAAAACAGCTCGTCAAAAACGCTCATGAATATTTTACAGCAAAATAACAATTAATAATTAAGCCCAAGTTTTATCCCGGCTCATGAAAATGTATTGAAATTAGTTTGTATTGAACTTAGTTTGCATTGAACTTAGTATGTATTGAACTTAGTTTGTATTGAACTTAGTTTGTATTGAACTTAGTTTGTATTGAACTTAGTTAGTATTGGTGCATGAAATGTTCACAGCTGTGTTATTTTATACAGCTGTGAAATAAAATAACACAGCTGTGTTATTTTATATTTTATAAAGTCCTAATAACCGCCAATATTATCATGAATGCTAAAGTTTTCATACAGAGTTTCATTATTACATGAGGCCTCTTAAAAATTTTATTTTTGAATACGGTCCTCGCACACATTCATATTTCCCGTACATATTTTCATTAGTGAACAAAGTTCTCATATTCATTCTTATTGGTACCTTAAGCCTCATAGACATTTTCATTACTAAATATCCGTCTTCATACACTTTTTATCGGTAGGTATAAAAATCCCCATTTAAATCCAACTAAAGGCCCCACCGGTTTGTTAATGGTCAAGAAATCGAAGAAAATCCAAACATGGTCTGCCACACATGGTCTGCCACATATGGTCTGCCACACAGGATCTACCACACATGGTCTGCCACAAAGGATCTACCACACATGGTCTGCCACACATGGTCTGCCACACATGGTCTGCCACATATGGTCTGCCACACAGGATCTGCCACATATGGTCTGCCACACAGGGTCGGCTACACACGGTCTGCCACACACGGTCTGCCACACACGGTCTGCCACCACACGGTCTGCCACCACACGGTCTGCCACACACGGTCTGCCACACATGGTCTGCCACCCACGGTCTGCCACACACGGTCTGCCACCACACGGTCTGCCACCACACGGTCTGCCACACACGGTCTGCCACACATGGTCTGCCACACATGGTCTGCCACACACGGTCTGCCACACAGGGTCTGCCACACAAGGACTGCCACACAGGGTCTGCCACACACAGTCTGCCACACAGGGTCTGCCACACACAGTCTGCCACACACAGTCTGCCACACAGGGCCTGCCACCACACGGTCTGCCAAACGTGGTCTGCCACACATGGTCTGCCACACATGGTCTGCCACACAGGGTCTGCCACACATGGTCTGCCACACATGGTCTGCTGCTCATGAAAACAGCTCGTCAAAAACGCTCATGAATATTTTACAGCAAAATAACAATTAATAATTAAGCCCAAGTTTTATCCCGGCTCATGAAAATGGCTTGTTGTCAAAAACGCTCATGAATATTGTCAGCAGAAGGGCCATAAATAATTAGACCAAAATTAAAAGGCTTTAGGTAACAAATATTCATCGGTCTGGATGTTCCTTTGCCCTCAGCAGTCGTTAAGTAGCGTGGTTCAATCGTGGATTGTTCGATCAACCCGCAACCACTTGTCTTCGTGATAATTTCAGCACCTTGACTCAAAAAAAATGAATTCTTCAACAATATTAAATTATTTACTTTATAAATACGTTGATTTGATATTCGATGAAATAAATGCATGCAAGTTAGACATGAAAAATGAAGCTCTTCATTGTGTAAGTAGAAGGATTGCTATTTTCATCGCATTGAGGTCTCTAAAATGTTTCTTGTATTGTTACTTAAATTAATAATCAAATTTGCGTCGGCCTAAAAATGTTTATAAGTTCGAACGCATAAATGACAAATAAAACTTCCTTCGTAGCTTTGATTGCAAGCATTGAAGAATGACATTATAATATAGCGACATTCCAATGGTGCTTTTTCGTTGTTTCGTCAATCCATTCCTAGATGACAAACATAAGGTGCTTAACTCACATCAAGCAGCTCGTGGCACAAGCACCTTTGCTGCAAGTTTGATGACAAACATACATTGCTTAAGTCACATCAAGTAGCTTTGCTGCAAGTTTGATGACAAACATACAGTGTTTAACTCACATCAAGCAGCTCGTGGCTCAAGCAGCATTGCTTCAAGTTTGATGACAAACATACAGTGTTTAACTCACATCAAGCTGCTCGTGGCTCAAGCAGCATTGCTTCAAGTTTGATGACAAACATATAGTGCTTAACTTACCCCGAGCCGCTGCCAACGTAAGCAGTGACGACACAAGATGGATTAAAAACTTCATTGTAGGGCTTTGGAACCTTTGTTTCTCACTGAAATCACTGTTTAGTCAAGTGAAACACTGAACACATAAACCGCCGGCACACTTCACTTCATAGTTCTTAGCTAACGCAAGGGCTCATATTATCTAATTTTGAGGCACAATCTAGTATAAAGTTTGAACATATAACTGTAGAACAAATAATTTAGTCTAAATTATGTCAGGATGTTTTTAATAAGAATATATTTAGTATGTTTTATTTTATCAATAAATTTCCTGCAGAGTAGATCTTCAAACGTCTACTCATATGCTATTGAAGTGATTACACATGACATCTTTTACTCAATCATCTAAAATACGGTCAGGCTGGAACCTGTTTATGAAACGGTGCTAAAATGAGCTACGCTACACGCGTAAGAACATAACTATCCGACAGAACCGGAATGTCAACTCTGCAGCGACTCACACCCTCACCGCATGACGGCACAACACTCGATGACGAGAGAAGGAACCAACCGCGCCAACCTGCGTCAACCTTTATATATAAGCGCTGCTCGGTCGTAGCAAGCTGTATCTAGAAATTCATTTACTATACGTAGTCTCATAACAAATGAGTAGTGCTTTATTTACTGTAAATAAGATCAGGGTAAATGACTGTGACATAGAGTATCTAGTGCTGCATTTACTGTGTATTGTATAAGGCCTAAGGGTAAGTAATTTTGGCACAACGTATCTATACAACATGGAGGCATACTCAACATATAGAAGGAAATAATTTTAACTATTATCGAATCTTCACTTAATTTTCAAAGCTTCATTCTTCATGTTAATTTCCAAGTTGGCCGATCTTCATATTTACCAATATATGAAACCCGAGCATATAATAGTCTACACGTATTGAGCACCTTCACGTGAGAGGCAATGTTGTTCTAAGTTCGTTAAAAAATAGAAAAAAATGTTTGTATGATGAACTCAATAGTAGAATAGTACTGATAAAAACTTTCTATGCAAAGTTCACTGGATATTTCGTTACGTTGACTCGACACTACCAATTTACCTGTTCCAACACTGCCTGGCCGTTATCGCATATTTATCAGTAAAAAATCACACTTTCGCGAATTCATAATTCGCAAATTTTATGAGTATTCCATTTTATTCAATTTTTTTTCAATATGACTTTTCGACGAATGTACTAAAAATTTGAACGCATCTAACTAAGGCCAATTTTATGAGGCAAGCCAAACGGAGCTCTCCCCTTTGACCTTTTCCACACAGATGGTTTTATTTTAACTATGTACATGCCAGATAAAATTTATTTCTATTTGAAATGGATCATTATGCGTTTCAGAAAAATTTTTCCTTCTTCCTTATTGCGCTGAATAGACTAATAATTATTAAATATTAAATAGTTCATAATTATCACGCGATGATTCTGAAACAAAAAATAATTCTTCATTTTTTTTCTTCGAAAGTAATACATTAAAATGTCCAGCATTTAAGGGTTCGGTAGTTTTGTTTTGCAAAGATTCATACGGAGCAATAAATTTGTCTGCAAAATCAATTCAAAACTTAACTTTGATTCACCTTACCGACCTCCATATAGCAGAATTAAAGACATCTCTGTTACAAAACTTTCAGTTGCCTAGACATCGCAATTAACTAATTTAAATTCATAATGACTGGAGAATTTTTTCCCCACAATTAATTTGACCGAAACGAACTGCTAATTAGCGCGCAAACCTTAAGTTGAGTCAATACCAGTTGAGTTAACAAGATTCAACAACTTTTTGGGCGGTTTGAAAACCATTGCTTTGTCCAGACAATAAGTTATTTTAGCAAATGACTCCAGATGTTTCAGCTTGAAATGGTCGAAATATCAAAGAGGAAAGATTCAGTAATTTATAAAATGAGAGAGGAGCTCCAGTGGCAGCATTTCGTGAAAATTACAAAAGAATGTCGCCTCACAGATACCAGCATTTGAACTGTGCCGTCTGTAGCTTCTCCCATGACATCGCAGGCATGGTTGAATTAACACATTGAATAATAATAATACATTGAATGAAATGTATTATTTCAACCATGATCGCAGGCATGGAAGAGATCTACTTTCCTAGCAGAATATATTGCTTCACCGTTTTGGTTATAGCAAAGCACGTTCTGAATAGCCCTACTATATAATTATAGTCAATCTAGATGAAAGTTTATTCATTTTCCAGTGAAAGAGAGTCTTTAGGTCCGCAAATAATGTGAAAGAATTTCTTGAGAGGCTTACGATTACTTGATAAGGTGGTAAGGAGGTGAGAGGAGTAATCAAAACTCAAAGACCCCATAGGAATTAAAATGTTGATCTTAGAACACTTATGCCTGACTAAACAGGCACATATGTGCTCTCGGGAACAACGTTATTGGACCGTTAAGGACTTTGGGAGAAGAAAGTAAAATTTCTGTTGTTTTTTGTTACTTTATAGCGAGTTTAATCCTACATATTTATGGAGGTCGTGGTCCTGTTCAAACGTGCGGAAGGATTTCCTGTGTCTCTATGTTGAAGAACACTTAACTGCAGCAAACCTTTCCCTTTGTTTGTTGTTTTAAAGTGCATAAATATGTTCTTTGTCAGAAGTCTGTGCTGAGGGTTGAAATGAAAAGTCACCCCCTGGACAAATTTATATCAGTATCTCCTGGCCAGCCGCAACGAGAGAAAATTTATTATAGGCGTAACTGACGTAATTTGAATTATTAGGGCTGCCGTTTCAATGAGACAAATACGGGCGCTTCGAGCACCTGGCTTCGGCCATAAGCAAACTGAATCTCCATCAGAATTAATTGCACTTTTTCAGCAAGTTTCTCTAACATTAGTTTTCCCAAGAATATAATTACTTAAGCCCTGCAAAATTTGTGTAAACTTGAGAAAATTAAACAGATCAATTTTAGCATAACTCAAATTTTAAAAGCCTCCACGGATTTTATGCATTCAATTTTAAAATCGTGACTGAGTCGGATTATTATTTCTCGCCATTTTCAAATCAGAGAATAAATTGTATAAATGTTTCATTTAAGAAAAATTTCTTTCAAAATGGAAGCAATTTTATTACGATGAGTTCGTGGCTATATTCTTAAACGTAGGAATGAGTTTTGCGAGACTTATGTGAACTTCGTGATCTTGGGGTTAACTGCAATGTAAAAATTATTTTAAACTGTCAAGTCATTCTGGATCTGAAGTTACGCGCTCTCCTCGGAACAAAACGTTGCGTTGGATATAAAAATTGAGAGCAGATGTGCAGAAACTTTTCATCGTAAGAAAAGTTTACGAAAGATTTAAGTAGTCTGTGTTTTATTTAAGTTTCAAGTTTTATTGGATGAAAATAAACACTGCGAGTGGATTTCACATGCCCGAGACCTCCGTCATTGAGAGAGTACAATTTATCGTTACGATTTTTTGCATTACATGCAATTTACGAAAGATTTATTTTTATTTTCAGGTGCTCACTATAATCTTTACTTGATTTAACTGAATTGTCAAGAGTTAAACGTAAACTCCGTTATTAGAAACGTTGCCAGGCAATTGGGTGGTAATTTAATTAAAACTTGAACGAATCGGTAGGAAGTCTACAGTTAAGACTTAATAAGGGACTTCCTGAGAGCAAATTAGACAGTGGCGACAACTAATGCTTGCCTAGACGAGCCTTGGAGAGCATCTCTGCGAACTGCACGCACATGTGTCGCTATTTTTCTGCGGATTCCGAAACTTTAACGACATGCTCCGCTATTTAGAAACTACTAAATCACTTCCCTGACCGCTCGATGCAAAATAACTCATTTAAATAAGTGATGAATTCATGCCTTTTTTCTGACCTATCGCCGTTTTCTGTTACCAGAAGCGGAAATTTAAACTTACGAACGAAATGAAAATGAAATGAAAATTTTTTAACGAAATTAACAAAATGAAAAACTCTGAACTGCTGAAAATTTATGTGCATATTTTTTAAATTGCTCTCGCTTGCTCATGAACTTTTACAACAAAATTTGGTGTATCTTTTTGGACTTTAGAATAAATTTTTTATTCATCTTTAATTTTGAGGACAACGCGTATTCTGAGCAATAGAATGTTTAAGAAGTTAAAGTGACTACCGAAAGAAAAACGCAGCTGACCGTTAATCAGGAGTCCAAGTAAGAAAATGAACGGTGCAAGATGAAAATGAATTGCATTTATAAGTTGTTGTGTTCTCACACGCAATATTTGGCAATAAATACAAACACGAACTAGGTAATTTATTATCTTGTTGTTTGGTTCATCCACAAGCTTCAATAATATGATTGAAGTCAAACGATAGGTTCATATTTTGTTAATTTCAGCTTCAGTAATTTAAATCTGGAGGAAAATCGGTTTCTAAAAATAAATAAAATTCATACAATTTGGCGAGGAATAATGTATCTTCAATTATTAAATCCTTAAGGAAACAAAGCTTCATTGAGACGTAGTTCAAGATTTAACATTCTCTTGAAATTATACTTCAACGGTAGATCTAATCCCTCCTATCAGATGTCCTATGTTTATGCTAGCAGTTTATCTGCATTTGATATTTTCGAAAATTTTTAACATCTTAACTGCATAATTTATTTACTAAATCCCAATACCTTAATTTTCCTGAGTCAATGCGTAATGAACTGGACCTTGGACCTATACTTTCAAAAAATGTTAAGAGATCGGAAGTTCGTCAGCCAATCATTGACGGCCTTTCAAGCAAAGTCCGCCAATCATAGACAAGAAAATAGAGCGTAAGTACTTACGTTCACTTAGCGAATTTTGAAAGTATGGCCCCAGGTAATGTTGTCCCATCGCGGTGATAAACATTGACAGAAAGCACAATCTTATATCAGTATTCCATCCCGTTGCCTGTCGAGTCAACGGCCTGAAGCAAGAATTTTTCTCGGCGCGCTGCCTGCCGAAAAAATTCACCGTTATCGACGACACTCCTTAAATGACAGCACAAATTTTCAGTAGACGAGATACCAAAAATGAACACATTTTGTCACGCGTTTCGGGCGGTTCGTGAAGCAAACTTATCCCTTCTTTTCCATCGGGCTAAAATTCGATTTAAGATTTTAATATTATGATTATGAAGAGGCTTTAATACGAATACCAATTATTTACTACCTA